CCCTGAGCTGCTCCCTCCCCCGCGCGCCCTCACTCCTCCTGCTTTCTCCCCGACCATTTCTCTCCCACCGTCTCGGGCTTTGAGCTTGAACAATCGTGGAGAAAGGGGGACGGGTCAGGGCCGGAAAGGCTTTGGCTCGTTGGGATCCGCTCCCATGGAGGAAGTCCCAGAGGCCCGGGCGTCTCCACGGCCTCGCAGAGCGGCCACCTCCCCAGGGCTCCAACCTGTCCCTCACCCACCGAGACCTGAGCCGCGTTGTCGGAGTCCAGGAAGGACCGAGGACATCGCGCCAAGGACCAGGAGAGGCTCCGAGGCTCAGGGATGGGGTGTCTGTCAATGTGTTAACGGCGAGGGTTCTACAAAAAAAAAAATAAATAAAAGGTCTCCTCCCTGAGGCCAGTGGCCCTGAAACCTTCGCGCACGTGATCAGGCTTCCAGCCGGAAGGTGAAGAGTCCAAGAGCGATTTTATGTGCTAAACCGGCTCGCAGGTGTGCTCGGCCTGACGCAGCGACTTCGCTAGTGACAGGGCTTTCTCCTGGGACTCCAGGGCCCGTCCCCAGTCGCGGGGGAGAGCTCGGGCTCAGCCTCGCGGGCGGCGGCGGCAGCCTCTGCAGCACCCTGGGTCACGGGCCCGCTCCCGGCATCGTCGGCGTGCTTCCTAGTGCCACTTTCCGACTCGCTCAGGCGGAGGGGCTTTGCGGGCCGTCCCAGAGGAACGCCTCGGAGAGTAACCAGGTTACTTGGTTGCTGTGGGTGCGCAGGTGTCCGAAGCCTGCTGCAGAGGCGACGCTAGGTATGAGGCGAGCCGGCCGGATTCTGTGCGTCTCCCAGGTGTGCTTGGGTCCGGTAGGGAGCTGACTCCTGTTCAGGAAGTTAATGTAAGTTTTGGAGGATGGACAGGGCTTATTTAATCGTTGTCACTGACTTTTAATTGGCATTACGATAGTTTCGAGTAGTTCAAAACAAATCGGCGTCTATTTCTCGGTTCCACTCTAAGTTGCTACGTTTTTTTTTTTTTTGCTCTTTTCATTTTGCAGCTTCTGTTTCAAGGAAGGAACCCCGGCATTGCCTGGGAATACTCGGTGCCGCGGCCGGGGGCCGACAGGAAGCCCGGGGCCCGGCCCAGCTACACCTGGGCCATCGTCCGCTCCGAGTGCTCCGTCTCCTGTGGAGGGGGTAGGTTGCTTGTCATGTCTCTCCCGGTGATGGGCATCGTGGGGCTGTGACATGTGCTGCACTGACGGTCATCACGTCCTAATGAGTAACCCAGGGAGTCTGTCTGAGGGTGGCGGGAATGTTTCCAGAGACAGAGGCGACAGCCGTGGCCAGAGTGTCGCTTGGAAGTCAGAAGCACCTGCTCCAGCTCATCCACGGCAGCCCGTGGCTTTGAGGAAGTCATTTAGTGAACGGGCTGGTTTCTGCTTCTCATCTAATGTAATTAAGCAACTTTTTTCAAGCCAAGTTTTGTTAGATGAGATAAATCAAATGAGAGTCGCTCACATTATTACACATAGACATTCATATCATGTTGATGATGGGATACAGAAGGTACATGGAAAATATAGTGACGTAGAGGGAGGGTTTTAATCAAATGGTCGAGTTCAAAAAACTTAATGGAAACAGATTTGCTACAAAGTACTGAAATGCACCAACCAACTATAAGGATTTCATTAAAATTGCAGTGGACGCGATAAGAAACGACATGCAGAAGAATTTCACATGACAGTGGATGGCTCCGTCATCTTAATGCCATACCAATTTTAAGCCCATGTTTAAACTGATTCAGCTGGTTCACTAGAAGGACGTTTTTAACTTGAGCTGGTAAAGGGTGACAAGTAAATATTTGCAGATATAAAAACAAAATACTAAATTCTATCTGATATTAAAAAAAAAACAGACAAATTTCCATTAAAACATGGATTTCAGCTTTGTGCATTCCAAGTTTTAATAATTAAGAAATTAATTTACTAAATGATTTTTAAAATTTGGTTTATATTTTAAACTTTCCAAAATACATCATACTATATCTTAGAATGATGATTTTTTTTTCAAATGAAAACATTCACCTGATTCACAATTAAAGTTCCTCAGACAAACCTTAAAACTGGCTTGTAAACCAGCCTCTCTTCTACCTTTTTAAAGAATATTTCCTTCACTGTTGACAGATACTTCTAGGGCTTAAGCTTTAATTCGTTTAGAGATAAGGTTTACGAAACGGACCAGTTAGCAGCCTCGTGCTTGTTTGTTGACGTCGAGCCTTTCGTTCACTGCGGTTGCCAGCAGATGTTGGTGGGTGGGGACGTGAGCCTCAGACTGCTTAAAGCCACGTGGGATAACGCGGAGACCTTCGCCTAATCCCCAATGTCTCCGCTCCGGACAGCGAACGACCAACCTCATCATTGCTTTCCGTGGAAAGTATTCTGTGGCCGCTTAGCACTGTGACTAACTGGGCACACGGCGCCCCTGCCCGCCTCGCCCAGAATTCTTCCTTAAATGCAGGAGGCATTAGGCTGAGCCTTGCAACTCACGCACCTTTGTCTGGAATTCGTTCTGTAGTTAGAATTATTGAAAGCTAGGAGATTCTTTGATAAAAGCGTAGTCTTTAAGACTGAATACTCCTCTTCCAGATATTTTGGCAAGATGTGAAGATTTTAAAAATGATTCCCAAAGACCTTGCCAGAGCTGATTTCCATAACAAGATGCAGGCAGAACCTGGTCACGGCCGTCGTGACACCCCGCACACCCCGTGGCCAGGAGTCAGCTCTGGGCTTGCCAGTAAAAGGATCTTCTCCCCGACTTTCTTACTTTGCCATTTGAATTGTATACTCTTCTCTCTTACTGTTCATATGGATCGTTTTTAGAAAACTGGCCAGCTTGATTCTGGCGTTCTCATGGGCCCTATGATATTTCTTCCTAATAATTGTTGAGCGCTTATAAGCATTTCGAGGAACGAATTTGCACACGTGCCCTTAACACAAGTGCCCTTAGCCTCCATAAAGGCCCAGCCACATGGCTGAGCAGCCCCCGTTCCATGACAGGAAGCTCGTCTGAAATCGAAATTACCTGCTATCTCATGTGCAAATAGAACTCGGGGACCCTGAGCGCTACCGGGTGTATGAACGTCTGTATATATTTTTATTTTCTCAAAACATTCAGATATTTGAAAACTGTCAAAGAAAGAGATATTTAAATTCCCTTCCATGTCCATTATTGTTTGTATGGGCTGGGAACATGAACTTTAAATTAAAATCTCCAGCATCCCTACCACCTATAAATAGATTCGCCCTCCGAAATTCACTAGCTGTTCACGGACGAAGGTTTGACCCGCAGCCATTTTGACGTGGGGCGAAGCGCAGGGCCCCGCACCTACCAGGCATCAGGCCCGTGCTTGTCGAGGGGATGAATGTGAGATCTCGATGTCTACCTGATTGACAACTACGCCAGGGCCCCGCGTGGCAGTGCCGATGCGAGCTCAGCCCGCCGCCACCCTGGAAGCGTGTTCCCCCAGCCTTCCCCAGGGCCTCCGTGCGCTCCCTTCCGTCGGCCCCTGAGAGTGACACTCATTACTGAGAGCTCGAGCCCCCTTGCTTCCGGCCACGTACCCGGCCCGGCTTCCACCGAAACGTCGTGCGAGAAGCGGTCCTCAGTCCATGAAGAGTTCTGAACCAGAAACGCCGTGACGTTCTTTCTGTCTCAAATTAAAAAGTCACGGAAATTTCTGCATGTGTGTTACACCGGGCAGAAGGACCTGGCCAGGAGGTGACCTGCCATGCCGAGGTGAGCTGTGGCATTCAGCGCGATCTCCCCACAGGACGGCCTGGTGTCCATTCTTGGCCCCGCCTCTTAAAATCACGTGACAGCATCAGCTCCTTGACCCTGTTCCACCTCAGCGACCCACCTCTAAAGCGTGGAGGATGACAGGACCTGCCGTGTCCGGTCGCTCTGAGGGGTAGATGCGACAGTCCTCGGACAGCGGTTAGCACTTCGTCTCGCGGAATAAATGTCCGTTTCTGTCCTTTTCTGTTAATGTCAGAGCCTTGCCTAAGTTGGACCGTTTAGGTTCTAAAGTCCTGAAGCGAGAGGGAATTCCGGGGCCATCCTGTCATTCCCCAGAGTGGCAGCGATGAGCACACCGCTCCGTTTTGGACCGTGCTGCGGGGGACAGAGAACACGTCAGCCACGAGGACAGCGTGACTCTGTCAGTCGTTCCAAGCACGGTGACAAAACAGTGTTAGATCTTATTACATTTTAACTGTGCTAATTTGAAATCAACACGAGTTCTTTTTTATTTTTTTCTGGCCATCGAATGAACTATTTAATAACTCCCTTCAAAATGGACATCTAATTAGAGTTCCTTTCTCATTGCAGTGAAATGTGCATAACGTAGAGTTTACTGTTTTTAACACTTTTAGGGGCACAGGTCGGTGGCGTTAAGGACGTTCACGGTGTTGAGCAAACATCGCCACCCTCCGTCCCCAGATC